GCTAACAATTTCGCTGAATTTGAAGTTACCTTCCTACTTTAGTCACTTCGAAATGTTCTGTTTTTTCGCTCATATCCAGTCGATATTTGGAATCATTGGAAGTATACTGATTCACAACATAAACTCGTTTAGCCTGAGCGAGACGATTACGAACGGTCTTTGTGCAGTTACGTGAAAGCAGAAGATTGGAAGATAGCCGGCAAGAGTCTTGAGCAGAAAGAATTTGTGCAGTTGGATATCGATATCAATCGCGTCGTATTTGATCATCACTGGCTATTCAGTAAAGAGGATACGGTAATCCAATCTAGCCTCTTTCTCGATACTGCGTATTTTTCACCCTTTAGTCTCAGCGACATTCATGACATTTTGAATTAATTAGATTGCAGTAGTCAAAGAACAATATTTTCTTCTCCCTCTGCAACTGCATTCTGAAATGAATATTTCAGCTGTGAAAATAGTACATATTGTATCGCTTATAATGTATATTATGAGTGATGCAGTTGCGGCTGCTAGTATGTCATGTAATTGTAGATCTGTAGCGTTATACGAAATCTGCATTCAACTCAAACGTTGAGAGCCGAAGAATCGCTAGTGTTGCTCAAAAGTTTAATTAATGAAAAACAACATGCGCAACGAGCTGATCCATCTGATACGGAACAGCAAACAAGGTAATCAAAACTGAGTTATGGATTTGTTTGTTGAAATGATCAGCAGCAAAAAATCTTGAAAACAAATGATATTTGTGTTCCAGAATTAAAGCAAACGTTGCCGATCTGGTGGATGATCTGGAAGAGAAGCAAAGCAATTACATTCGACTAGGACAATTGATTGATGAAAATTGGCATCGATTGCGCTTCCTCAGACATGAGCAGGGATTTTCTTCCACGACTCTCACCGTTCAGAAAACAATTTCTACTGCGCAAGAAATGGCTGATTTGTGAGTAATCAGAAGATCTGTCAGCCACTCAAACAAGAATTATCATAGAGTACTTAAGAAAATGTGAATGCTGTGCGATAGATACTTTAACCAACATACAAGTGGAAATAATTCATATTATTAGGTTGTAAAATTTGCTTTTGTGGTTTCTGCGGGAACTTCCGTTTTCCAGTCGACACCGTAGACGCCATTCACGTTCATACGTGTTTTTAGGTGCATCCCAAAGGCCACTTCATGGTGCGTGTTTCAAAAAAAGGATCACTAAAAACTTTTGATTCTGGGCTATTTTACAAGTGTTTGAGTAAACCATGCAAAAACAGCATTTTCGCGCAATTTCGCTTTGTGACTAAGGCTGTCTGCAGCGGAATCCACTCGGTGAATCAATCAGGATTGCGTACAGAATTCAGAGAAGAATTGTGTGGTACGAAATTGGATTGCAAGGATTCTTAACGATTAGAGACTTTGTGATTAGAGACTCGACGATTACCATGTCGGAGGGCCACCTGCGCAAACCGCAGAAGAAAAATTACAACCTAATATCATAAACTCAACCCACCTACCTACACCTTGTTGAATCTAGACCATTATGACGTTGAATGAAACTTTGACTCCCTTACATTTGCTCATTCTCACGTGGTAATGAAATTTCAGAAATTTATCGAATCTCTCCGAACATCTTCAAGAATTCACTCGAATACCTGTTTATACATTGTTAGAAACGAATCCTCTGACTGAAGAAAGACCAAAAGAAGAAATGCAACGTTTGGCACTAATAAATAAGTGCCATATTCAAATGTTAATTCACTTCAACGACATCCTTGTTTGCAAAACAAAATTCCGAGCGATCGATGCGAACTTTTCCGCTGTTTTTGGACAAATCTATAACTTACAGGTTACTCGTAGTTTTGTCACCTACTAGGCGAGGCAAAGGAATGTTTTGGATGAGCGTTCGAAACATTCCATNGTAAATGGTCAGTTTGACAAGGAAATTTCGAAATCCTTTCATCCAAAGATTCGTTTAAAAATTAAATATTTTCGGGAAGATTGAAGTATTTGCTTTCATAATCACTCAATTTGATCAGCACCGTTTCAGATTCATGAGATTCCGCAGTCAGTCACAGTTACTTTCATTGAAAAAGCACCACGAATAGATTCGAGGATTCTTGCAAAAGTTGGATTACCGCTACCGGATGAAGATAAAATAACCAGTGCGGATGCACCACTGGAAAGTATTCAATTTGCTAGTGATCTAGTTATTGACAGGTGAATGCTTATATCACGTAACATAAACAAAAAACATAAATTCCGAGAAAAAAAAACATAAACATAAATTCATTATATCGTTTTCCCTTAATAAAGATCAAATCACCTCTCATGTATGGAAAAATTATTTGACTTTATTTTGAGGATGTTTTCGGCTGTTGGTAGTGGTGCACAATCACCGTGCATTGCTGGTAAACTATTCTGCAATGTATCATGGGCACAACGCGGTATTCGCACGAGTAAAGCTGCGAACATTCGAGGTTTGTTTAAACTGAACCAACAACATCAACAACAACACGATGCGCATTTCGACTTGATACCGAAAGCAGTTCGACTGTGCACTGATGAGGAATTTGAATCAGATTTGAGGTTATATCGTCATCGTTCTGATATTATGAATCGCTATCTATATTAATGTTTGATTCAGCTGGTAGTGAATAATCTAACTCTGTCAGAATAGTGGTGGCACGAATAGAGTAAGACTGGCACTACCAGCGCATGTCAGCGCAGAAAGCAAACATTTGAAAAACAAGCTTTCAGCTTGTTTAGATCTCTCTAGGTGTCTGAATTCGGAACGAGATTGTAGGTTAGAGGTATTGAAGCAACGAAGTGAAAGAAAACTTGCAAAAAACAGGAATACAGAACGCGTTCCATTGATGTCTTCTGAAATTGATCCTCAGATTATGTCGAAGAATCAAGAAAAATTGGATGATCAGTTCGACTTCACTAGTGGTATTGAAGCGCATCGAATTACCGGCAGCCAGTATGCAGCCAAAATAAGGTAAATGTTCGATTCTAATTAGTAATATCATGCCTGGCTGATTTTCATTTATATTGAAGAGGATATTCACATATAACGTGCCGTATCTGTGGTATTATCTGTACGATTCTGTGTAAGAATTTTTAAGGGTCGTTATGGACAAAATTTTCTTTCAAAAATGTTTCATTTTCAATATTGTGAGATCTTTATGAGGCATAGATTCAAGCTGCTAGCTCAGAAATTGAAGACTCATGTCCAGTGTTGTAAATATTTTTTTGTAGAGATTTTAGATGTTTGACATTAGATGGTTGTTTCATGACAAACTATTATATGCGATTAAACCAATTCCAAAACTNTCTCTAAGAGTCAGCGAATTTAGGAGGCAACTTCTTGACCGTTTTGCAAACGAAGAACGAATCCAAAGTATGAGCGAGATCGTTCGTGAAGAACCGATACCGACAATATTCAGCGCATTTGGTGCACTATTTGCACCGATGGATACATCGCGAAAATTGAAACCGATGAGGCGAGTAGATGCGGGACAACAGGTGAGCCTCCTAAGTTGTGTGTCGATTGATTTTGAATTTCGTCGCGACTAATTAGTTTCCGTTGATCGAGTATAGAATTTAAAATCAATCCCAAATGGTTTAGCGTCTTGTTTTGCAGTTTATTCCTGGAATTCGTTATCGAATTGCTGTGAACATTCAATCTGCAGTGAATCTTTCTGAGCGACTCAATGGTGGCTTGCATCCTCTCGTTGAAGCATCATTTCAGGTGTCTTATTAAAGAGTATTCATTAATCAAATAAACTGATTCGAATGAGAAGTGATTCCTTTACATAAATTTTCATTTTCCTACAAGAAGCTTATGTCAATTCAAAAGTACGTTTGAAACGAGTCATTGGTCTAAATATGGGTTTTTACCAGGGCTTCAAAGCCCAGACGAGTGTTGCAAGCGGAAAAAATCCAAACTGGCAGCAAACTATAGAAATCAAACTGAAGCGAATGCGAGAACTGGAGAAGGACTTCAAATCAATCGTTGATTCACTGGAACTGAATATCTACGATCAGGTTTGTTCGTTGTGCATTCGAAGAAAAGGAAATTCCCATGCCGGGAATCGAACCCGGGCCGCGTGGGTGAAAGCCACGAATCCTAGCCACTAGACCACATGGGATATACAAACATCAAGTGGTTAGCTAGTAGATCAGTTCGTTTCGCTCTAATTGAATAACGGCAGCCATGATCCATTGTAATTAGGTATCGACAGTATCTCCGAAAGGTTCAGGGAATACGTTATTAGGAAATTAATCATCAATGGGAGGTGAATTCATCTTTGCAAGAGCGCATATTTCGAATGGAAAGTGCCAGTGTGACGACTTTTCGAAACATATAGAGTTTGAAGAGATAAATGTCTCAACATGTGTGCCTGTATCTCTGGAACTAATCACTTCACATCAGGGACTTCCACATTTTTTTATAGCTGCGAACCGTCTCGAATCGAGCGAATCAAAGGGAAGTTATGAAGTTACAGATAAGATCTAAATCAATCGATGGCCTGAACAGCATAATTGTTTGCATTCCACTTGCCACTGATCATTGACCACCTAAGAATTTGATAATTCTGATACGACATTATATTTTGAGAGGACGCAAGATAGCCCATTTATGATCATTTATCGGGGAACTGTTTACTTAAAAAGCTTTCAGATCGTGAGCAAGTTGTACAGCGATGATCGTGAACCAAACTCTCTTCATGAGCAACTCGAAAAGCATTTGATTGGCTCTGCAAGAATTCCTTTCTCTGCACTTCTTTGCAACTCTAAAATTGATGGCTATCTTCGCATTCAGAAACCACTCTTTTTATCGTCCTACAAGTTTGTTTGTCGATTCATTTATAATTTAATCACTGCCGAAAACTTAATTTCATAATTTTGCCTGAACAAGCAATATGCGATTCGGGCCTATTTTTAGCTCGTTAGATATTTTGGCGATATTTGGGTCGTAAGTAAAGCGTTTATAACAGTTACTGCTTCCATCTGTATTTGAAGGAAATACGGAAATGAGCCGAAGAAATTGAAACCGCATTCCATACACTAAAAATACATTGAGAGGTAGAAATGAAAAAAAAATTGCAGAAATTAGGGAAAAGTGAAGGAGAAAAGAAAAAATGAAAAAGGAGAAAATCTTGGGAAAGGGAAAAGTCAAACAGAAGAAAATCGAAGAATGGTCTAGTAAAGCCTAAAT